AAATATCTCCATTATGATTTCACAAACCAGTGTTCTTATTTAGATAGATTTTTCTCATCAAAAAGTTTTCTTACTTTAAAGTTGGGATCATGAGCTCTATGCGGAATTTTTTAGCCACATGGATCTCCCAAACACACTGGATGTCTGTTGGGTAGTTTTCTGGATACAGCGGGCTAGAAAATGAGCCGGAGAGACTGGAAATGACCCCTCCACAGGAGTTACTTCCTCCTGCAACAACAGAAGAAGGACATCAGGATGTGTCCCCTTGACGTGACTCATGTGATCCCAGTAGCGACCAGCTCACACCCAGTGGCCTGGTGAAGTCAGGCTGCAGCCCACCTGGGTGGACGCACAAGGCTGTCTGAAGAGATTTTTTTGCCCAGACATCTCCTGGGAAGGAGAGTCCATGCAACCTAACTCTGGCAGATCAAGAGGTACTAATGTGTGAGAGCTCCCTGCCTTTCCCTCTCCTCCTCCTGGATGAAGAAAACATCACAGTTGTCCTGTCCGTTTACTCTCCCCACCGTCTTTCTAAGTGGAAGGATTCTTGCTTGCTGAGAGAGAGGCAGAACAGATCTACGTGAGAGTTTGGGGAAGAGAGACAAAGAGACAGAGGCTGAATGTGCCCTGGAAAGGGGCGAGTTTGAGGAGGTTTGGGGAGCAAGAGGCTCTGGAACAACTTTAGGGTCCAAGGAGTTGGAGACAAAGGGAAAGGGGGCAGTGTGGGCTGTTGGGGCAGTTACGACTGGGACCTCCCTTTAACTACTTTTTCATCACTTTTTCTGGGTAGGTTATGTTTCCTTTAGCTAAGTATCTACTGAGACTGGAACTTACAGGTTTTTGGATTTATAAGATTTAAACAAGTCAAATCTAATTCTGCCATACTAGTTGTCCTATTCATATAAATAGACACACATTTTCACACTAGCATATATATTTAAAGGAGCATGCCACACAAAAAAAGTAGAAAAATTAGAAACCATCAAATTATTTCAGAGGAAATTTGAAAACATGATGTTTTGTTGACCTTGTGCCCAAATTATGAAGTTGATTAATTCTTTCTGTTCTTCCCGATTACCTCGTAATCCTCCCAGAAACCCACAGATTCCTGGTCTTTCCTATGACGGGCGATGGGAAGTGGTGAGGTGACAATCAGCCCAGAGCGCTACTGCTGATGGCGTCTGTAGTTTACAAGACCTGGGCCTCGTCAGACTGACACTGAAGCCCCCAGGAGTTGGGTGTCTCGAAGCCTCTACACGTGGCAGGGATGATGAGTGGGGCCCATCCTGGGTGCCCCCTGCAGGGCTGTACCCAGAGGAGGCTGGCTGAGGATGGCCAGGTGGACTGAGCCACATTCTCCTCAAGTCCCTTGTCACCCTCCTGCCTACTCTGACCTGGGCAGATCCACGTGCCCCCTTCCCAGCCTGCTCTTTTGGTGAAAAAGTCAGCATTTACAAGCATTAGAAGTACAAATGCAGTGCCCCTCAGCAAGGCAGTGGTGAGGACTAAGGGGCTCCTCCGGCTGAGGCCCTGGCTGGCTTGCCCTGTCCTCTCTGTATATATGCATTTTTATTGAAGTATAGTCATTTACAATGTGTTAATTTCTGGTGTACAGCACAATGCTTCAGTCATACATGAACATACATATATTTGTTTTCACATCCTTTTTCACCATAAGTTACCACAAAATATTGAACACAGTTCCCTGTGCTGCATACTCTGCCTTCTCTGGAAGGAGCTGTGGCAGGACTGGCTTGGGCAGCAGAGAAGCCACACCAGCCTCTCAGGGTCAGGTCCTGGGCACAATGCCGGGCATCTACTGTGATGGTTCTCTTGGCAAGGAGTTACCATTTCAATTTAAAACAACAGCTACCTGTCACATGATCCTGAGAAGCTGTGGAAAGACCTAGAAGGGAAAAAAAGGGAGATACTGATGACATCCAGGGAGAAATCGCTTAGCTTCATCTACAAGTTAGCAAAGGATTTCCTGAGAAATCAGTCAACGTACTGAGCACTAACTGAGAAAAGTGCGAAGGTACTGAGTGAATATTCCCTACGGCCCGGTGGCAGACTAAAGGAAGGCAGGCCACGAATGCCTGGACATGATTCGTGTCAAGGGGGGGTCTAGGTCCCCTCCCTTGCACCTGAGTGGGCTCGGTGGCTGCTCTGACAACAGAATATGGCAGGAGCAATGTTGTGCCTTGCGACACTGGCAGCTTCCACTTTCTGTCTTGGGAATACTGGCTTGCTCGTGGTACCAAGCCACCCTGGAAGAAATCTGACTGCCGTGCTGGAGGGACCATGTGAAGAGATCCTGACACCACCTGGGAAGGAAGACAGCCCTTGGCTGAGCCCATTCACCCGGCTGTCCCCACCAAGACATCAGGTGTGTGAGTGCAGCTGCCCTGGACTCTCCAGACCAGCCACTAGGTGACCCTGCTCAATGCTACGCAGAACAGAAGACTCTCGCTCCCCAGAGCCCTGACCCCCAAAACTATGACTTGTAACTAAATGGTTGTTATTTTAAACCACTGCGTTCTGGAGTAGCAGATGACCAGAAGGACTCCTTTCATGCGACATGGCCTTCCTCATTTCCCCATCATCCATGTCATTTCCAGCTTAGCCGAGTTACACAAACGAGAAAACTACAGATAAGCCTTGATTTGAACATCCACTGCCCTTACCCTGAACGAGGGTCTTTTAACTTCAGACGGCCTTTCTCCTCTCACTCATGACCCCAACACATATGCCCCGCAGAAATACCCAGAACACATCAAGGTCTCCTGCAGCCAAGTGTCCAGAGAGGTGCTTCTGTCAGTGACCTGTGACCTGTGCGTGTTCTCTGAGGCTGTGTGAGGACAGCCAGGTGCGTTCAGAGGGAAAGAGATGGTGCTTGAAAATTCTAGTTCTGCTCCTTTCTAACTGAGCTCTCCTGGGCAGGTTTCTTGATCTGCTTAATCCTCTGCTGCAAGGATCGAATACTTATGCAGGAACTCTGGCATCACACCTGCTGCTGAGCAGATGCTCAGAAATGTCAGTTGCAATGAAACAAAATGTCTTTTCATTTACCTTCAGCCTCATTTCAGAATTTACACTGTATGTGTTAACCTGATTTTTCAAATCTTTGGTTTTTATTACAGATGAATGTCAATCAATCATTAATTTATGCGATCTCTGAAAACAGGCACAAGTCGTAAGATCCCCAAGAGCACATACTATGGGGTCCTACTGATGAGGGTCAAAACTTGCTTCTCCCATATACTTGCTGCATGATCTCAGGAAAGTTACATAAACCTTTCACGTCTCAAATTCCTCTGTAATTTTTTTTCCAGGATTGTCTTGAAGATTAGCAATAATCTGAGCAAAAGGTCTCCCTTCTTTGTGTTAGTTTTGCCTGGTCTTTGTGTTGCTGGGGCCAATTAACAGGTTCAGTAAAAGACTGGTGGCTAAGAGTGCTGACCGCTTGGGTTCAAATCCACTGGCTAGTCCTGGGTACGTTACTAACTCTGTATCTCAATTTACCTATCTGGAAAATGGGAATAATCAAAGTACTTACCTCATGGGATTATCATAGTGATTAAATGAGTTACGTATGCAAAGGCCTCAGAACAGTGCCTGGTTCTTGGCATTTGTAAGTATTTGGTGCTATTGTTGGAGTTAATATTATTATAAAGTTACTTAGACTAAAAAAAGTATCGGCATACCTGGAGGTGTAGGAGGAGGCAGGTCTTCTGCATCTGAATGCATAAAGAAAGGCAACAGGTCACTCTCATTAGTGAATTCAAAGTGTGGAGGAGGTGGGGTAACCAGGGTGTGGAGTGGGGAATGAAGCGGAGAGGCCCACGGCCTTTTGGGACACAGGACTCAGAGCACTGCATCCTGGGCAAACCCACTCCTCCTCTGGCCTGGTCCTTGTCCTTGGTAGGCGGGGTACAGCAGCTGGGTCAGCTCCGCCTCGTGGTGGCCAGAGCTGGATCACTCACGGTTCCCCTTGCGCAGTATCCCCTGGAATACTCATTAGGAGGCAGATTCCAGAGCCTCTTCCCAAACCCAGCTCACCGCACTCTCTGGAGGCGGGCCCTGGGTTCTGCACTGCGACACCCTGGGGAGGGGGGTGCCCGCTAATCCGAGACCTCCTGTGTGCAGCCTGGAGCTGCCCGGGCCAGGGTGTGTGTCTGAGCCCAGAACCTGGCAGGGCAGACTCTCAAGACTGGTTGACGACAGAATAAGTGGGTGGGTGGAGGGAAGAAAATTCCTTCTGGGATGCACAGTTTCAAAATGTCTTCCACCAGCACATCTGAAACTACTGCCTGAGAGGGGAGGGGATACCTGAGCAGATGACACCGGCGTCCTCGTGGTGGCCGCAGTTGTGCTCCGACCAGCCTGAGTGGGCGCACTGGCCCAGGTAGCGCTCCATCCCCGCGCACTGGAGGTTGTCCAGGAAGATGTCCCCAGAGCCCGGGCCAAAGTGGGCCCTCCCGAGGGCGGACACGGCCCGACCGCAGCCCAGCTGTCGGCACACGACCTCGGCTTCATTCAGGTCCCACAGGTCGTCACAGACGGTACCCCAGGCCCCCTCGTGCAGGACCTCCAAGCGTCCTGAGCACCGTCCTGAGCCGCCCACCAGCCGCAGCTCTGGCCAGTCCCCTGCAGACAGAGACCTGGTGGCTGTGGCCTCTGGGCACTCTGCTCGCTTCCCTTGAGCTGGCTGCACTCCCCACCCCCACGCCACAGTTAGGGATGGAGAACGCGGTAAAAGGTCGGTCAACTAGTCAACCTCTTAGTTGGCAGCTGATAAGTCATTAAGACTGCCTAAACAACACTTAACCTAAACTGTTCACTAAATGAGTATCTATTGGGCCAGGAGTGTATGCCAACCTGTCTTGGCTAAATGCTAAAAAAAATCTCAATTTGCAGAATGATCTGTGATTTCGGGAAGTGCTTTCTTTTGTGTGTGTGTGTGTGTGTGTGTGTGTTCGCCTTCACCTTTATGATAACTCAGCAAAGAAGAGTTTTGTTACACCAGTTTTATGTACGAGGACACCAACAGTTGGAGAAACAAAGTGATTCACCCCAAATCCCACATCTGCGAAGGAGCAGATCCAAACTCAGTTTTCCTGATTCCAAACATCACTAGTTTTCTTTTTCTCTCTGCTAGTCTACCTCATGGCCTCCAGGATGGCTCTGACCCTCGACTTTGAAAAAGTCTATTAGGATGCAGTTGTGAGGTTATAAATGATCAGGCCAGGCCATATAAAGAAAAGATACAATCCCACTAGAGGGCACTTGAGAGCCACTCAGACTTTGATGACTCTGAAAGGCACTGAAAAAAATGAACTCTGTTCACCATGGGACGCTAGACCCAAAAGATCCCAAGCGTTCCGAACGGCCCTGGAGAGCTGGCTCAGAGCCAGCTGGATTGCTGCAAACAGATGGACCACTTGCAGTTGGTCCAGTTTCTGCCCATGAAACAGGTACCAATGCCAGTAACAAGAGGAAAGGATGGGGAGGGTATAGCTCAGTGGTAGAGCATGTACTCAGAATGCATGAGGCCCTGGGTTCAATCCCCAGTACCTCCGTTAAAAATAAATAAATAAACCTAATTACTACCGCCCCCCCAAAAAAAGGACAGTGGGTAAGAAAAGCATGCATTCCATGGCTTACCTGGTCTTGCTGTTACCATCCTGGGTGTTGCTGTAGGGACGGCTGTGGACACAAGAAGACAACTTGAGATAAAAAGGGAGGCCTCGGGCGAGTCACAGTGGCAGTGTCCTGAGATCAGCCTCCATGAAATGCCCAAACTCTGGCTGAGTCCCTCTTCATGTCATCTTTATAATAAGTGAGCTTGGAAATCAAATTCTCTTTACATGTCAGTCCTGACCTTTCTCTGGTGTGCAGGATACAACAGAAATAACAGTCCATTCTTTTGCCTGCTCACTGGAAACAGGACATTTAAATTGTGCCATTCTGTGTTAAAGTGCGTTCACAACTAGTGTCCTTCTAGAAAATAGCCATTTCCTTTGCATGTTTCTGCCCCCTTTTTTGGTGATAATTAACTTTCCATAAATGTGGAGTGCCTGATTAGGTGTGTTTCACTGTCTTTGATAAAAATGAAGGATTAGGAAATCAGACTGACAACTGTCAACAGGCAGTGACCCAATTGCTGACATGTGTAACTTGGTTCCACTATGAATGGGCGCCATCCGTGCGCACAATGAGTGTGGGCAGACTGTCAGCCGCAGCGGGCTTACACAGGAAATTAGGAAACATACATGAGAGAGACCAAACTATGACAGTATGAGCACCAGGAGTGGGCTGGAGAAGGAAACATGCATGAGGAACGAAGATGAAGTAACAACAGCGCACGTGACTCACTGACAAGGCGCGGGGTCCGAGAAACGGCCTCTGCAAACACAAGGGAGCTGTCGTCAGTAACTGCTTAATGTCAACGGCAGTGACTTCCCGGATCCACCGTGCAACAGTGGACCTCCTCTGTATTTCACAGCGTTTTCCCCAGGCTTGCTCAGTGGGTCACCCTGGCCCTTGCTAAGAGTACAGGAGAGTGTCATGAACAGCACCTTGAAAAAGGTGGATGCCAGAACTCCCCACGGGCTCAGCCTCTTTCTCTCAGTGTGAAACAGTGCAGCCCCAGCCCTGCGTGACCTTGGGACAATGACTGAACCTCTCCAGCCTCAGTTTCTTCATCTGTGAAAGGGGAAGAACCGTGGGTCTGTATGAGCAACACAGGAGACAACAGAAGTGCTCAGAAAACCAGGCTCTCAACAAACGCCCGCTCTTACTCTGATCACCGTTGTTGTCATCGCCTAACTGCGTTCACTGCGCTTCCCCAGAAACCCGTGGCTTAGCTCTGTGTGCCTTCACACCACACACGTTATACACCCCACCTCTAGGCTCACACTGTTTTCTCACCGCTGTGTCCTCTCTCTGTTTCTCTGCTCACAGCCTAGCCAGGCTGAAAGCCAAGTCTAAGGCTGGTTCCTGCATTTTCCTTACTCCTTGTAGCCGACGTCTTTCCTAATGCCTCTTGCTGAGATGTAGGTGTGCGTTAATGTAGTATGTTTTAGTGTGTTCTATTTGTTTGCCTTAACGTGCTGTTTTCTGTTTGTCCTCTAATTGTGTCACGTGCATCATCCTGGACTCCCTCTGGGTTGTGCATGAGCCTCTCTACGGATGGGATCACACCTTTTCCTGTAGGTCCTAAAACATCCACCTAGTACTAGATTCAGAGTAACTTCAGAAATGGCTTCCTATTGAATGGGTCGCCTGCGACCAGATGTTTCTATGAAAATAAACAGCCTGTCATGAAGCTGCCAATTACTAAACATTTACCATGCGCATCACTACGTGGAGTGCTTTGCTTGCATCACTGCAGGTAACCCTCACAACAAACCCAAGAAGTAAGGCTCTCTCATTACCCCCACTGCACAGGGAAGGACTGAGGCACGGAGAGGTCAAGTCTCTTGCCCAAGGTCCCAGAGTCCCCAGGCAGAGACGGTCTAGCTCCAGGTCTCTTGCTCTTAACCACCACTCTTACCTTTGGTTTCAGAATAATAATAGGCAATAAAGGTTTTCCCTATGTTGTTGAAGCTTCGAAAGTACACAAGGGTCATTGTGCTGGAGGAGGACACGTAGGTGAGGTGGGTACCAAAGCAGGTCTTCCCCAGGGACTTTGCTGAGGATGGAGGGCCGTCCAGGATTTCAAAATATTCATTGGTACAGTCAAGGCTGCGGAAGCAAACACCAGCGGGAGACCTGGTCAGCAGATCTCAGAGGGAGGTGGTAAAGCAGACTCTGCTTTGTTACTATAAAGAGGCTGGGCCCGGATTACAAGCCTGCCATTCAAACACAGCAGGGGTGCCTTTTATCCCGGATCTTCTTCTCTCAGACAGACAGCCACTGCCTCAGGGATGGGATTTTACCTGAAAGAGGGAAGGAGTCTGGGGCGCCACGTGTACCCCTGCTGTGGCCCTGAGCAGCCCCAACTGCAGGGGACCTCGAAACCCAGGGTCAAGGGCAGGGCCAGGCAATCGCCGGCCAGTAGAACATGGCTCCAAGTTCCTAACGACCTCCTGTGCACAGGCTTTCGGCAGCCGACCTGCCCAGAGGGATGTGCACGACCGCACGTGCACGATGGAATCTGCTCAGCTTGCCTTGGGGAGGACGTCTGATTCTGCTGTTCTTTACTGTGAAGTTCTGTCTGGAATGCTAGCATCAGAAAACCATCTTCATGCCTCGGCCTGGTAAGATGTCTGTTCCAAGTCATATTTTGATTAAAAAAAATTTAAGTTGTTCCTGAAGGTTGATTTCTGTAAGACATTCACCTATGAATGACATCAACCTTCAGTTTACAGTATTAAAACCTAAAATTTCCTGATTCATTAGGTCTGGGGGGTCCCTGGAACCTGCACCTTTAACCAGCAAGCTGAAATGCATACACACATACCCTCAGCCTCTCCCTCTCTCGCACACACACACCTATGCAAAGCATGTCAGGTGAATTTCACTTTAATTACAAATTCATAGAAGCACGTGAAAATCAATCATATTTCTATATATTAGAAACAAACATATGGAAACCAAAACCGAAAACAGTATCATTTACAGTCACTCCAAAAAAAAAAAAGAAAAAAAGACACCCTTAGAGACACATCTAACACAACATGTCCGCGATGTGTATGCTAAAAATGACAAACAGCTAATACAAAAAAACCCCTAAAAAACATCAAATGCTAGCCAGGATATGGAGAAACTGGGTCTCTCACATGTTGCTGGTGGGAATGTAAAATGCTAGTCACTCTGCAAAAGAGTCTGGCATGTTCTTAAAAAGCTAGACACACACTTACTATATACAACAACCTAGCAACTGACTCTTGATCATTCATCCCAGAGAAATGAAAACTTACGTTCTTGCAAAAACCTGTGTATGAATGTTCACAGAAGCTTTGTGTGTAACAGCAAGACTGGAAACAAGTGTCCTTTGGTGGAGGAAAGGGTTAAACAAACTCTGGCATCCACACAATGGAATATATCTCAGCAAAAAAAAGGGAACAAACTCTTGATACACATAGCAGCCTGGATGGACTTCAAGCTGAGTGAGAAAAGCGAATCCCAAAAGAATACGTTCTGTGTAATCCCACAGACATAACATCTTGTCCCCAAACGACAAAACCCTAGAGCTGGAGAATAGATCAGTGGTTGCCAGGGACAGTGTGGGGACCGGTTGTGAACATAAAGGATAAAGGGTCATTCCCTTGTGGTGGTGGAACACACTATACCTGCTTCTAGACTGTGGTGGTGGTTATGTGAATCTACACATGGGATAAAATTGCACAGAACCACACACACACGCAGGTGAAAAATGGTGAAAACTGAGTAAGTCTGTATTCTAGCTAATGGTACTGTCCTACTGTCAGCTTTGTGCTTTCCACACTGTTCTACAATTAAATAAGATGCCACCAATGGGGGACACGGGGTGACAGGTGCCCAGGACTGTGTTACTTTTGTTATTTCCTGTGTGTCTATAGTTATTTCAAGATAGAAACTTAAACAAGATACAAAGGACTCTTTCAGTTACGAGAATCAACCAAGGGAGTAAATGCTTGGAATTTTAAATGACACAGGAACTTAAGCAACATACTTCTGACTTACTTGAGTTTCGGAAACGCCAGCCGTATGTGGTCCGATGCGTTTGCCCTGATTTGCCACACACACGTTATGTTGTCATGCATTTCATTTCGAGGGGGGTTCCTGATCGCTCCAGACGGGTTAGTAATAATGCTGCCACACTGAGCTTTTTCTAAAAGCAGAAAGATATTCCAGAATTGCAGTTCTTTCCATTGTTCACTTCACTCATTTTACAGTTGACATGTTTTTTCCTTCCGTTCTCTTTCCTTGAAAGGTTTTACTTTGTGGGGATGTCTTAGGATGGATCAGAGGTATAGTCTAAAACCTCTGGTCAACTTAGGCCATCGGGGCATGAAAGTGTCTGAATTTTGAAGCCGCTCTCACTTCTTTTGAGAATTCTGCCACTGACACATGCTTGCTGGATGGAGCAGTCGTCCAGCAGCAGCCCAAACCTTCCTCTCGAGTTACTGTGCTGGGTCCTAGAGCCTTGACTTTGTCAGGTCCTCAGCAGAAACGAGCAGACTGCTTCATTTTCACAGCTGAGGCTGGAATGACATGGAGCCTCTATGTATATGAGGACGGCGTGTCCCACCTGCCATCACTTGTAATTTCTTCAAGTTACACTATTGAAAATCCACTACTAAGTGGAAAGAGGTGGCCCTGAGTCATCCACACTCTCCAACACTGATATTGTCTGTGTCTCCCTGTTCATTTGTTTCTCCACCTGCTTGTCTGTCTAGCCATCTGTCCAATATTCAGTCCAAAATTAAAGGCGACACCTGTGGCAATGGCTTCCTCCACCAGATGACCTGGTTGGGTAAGAATCGGATCTACACTCAGTGTGTCACTTAGCTGTGGTTCTTTCCTAGAAGGACGAGCCAAGCGCTCTATGCATTATGTCACGTTAGCCTTTTCTCCAAGGGTGCTAGGAAGTGTTCAGTGGAGCTTCTGGAAACCCAGCGTATAGGCGAGAAGAGGGGAAAAAAAATGGAGAATGAAAAAGGAAGGATGGAAAAGGACATAGACAGTCAGAGAAGGAGAAAGGACAGAGAGGAAAATGCGCTCCTCATGGTGGAAGCCCTCTGAAGCCATGCCCTTGGGCAGTGCCCTGGTCATGCTGCTATGCTAATGGCCGCCTGCCTGCCCTTCACAGGTGGTGTCCACGCTGGGACACCAAGAAGGCTGGCACCACTGGATTATCTGGACTTCCTTCTTTGGCTAATAGAAATGGAACTGGAACCATAAATTCATTGGCCTTCGTTACTGGACTCTTCATTCAGAACATAGGCTCAGAGAGTGACTCAGGGCAGCAGTATTTTGCTCAATTTCCTTGAAGAATCACTTCAGGGCTTGAGCTAGACGGTGATGATCAGGGTGGCCAAGAACACCCAAGTCTCACCTGCAGCCTTCGTCCCTGCCGCTGTAGCCAAAGGGTGATCTGTTAAACACACAAAGGACATGGGATTGTCAGCTGGGACTGAGATCCACGCATCCACACATGAGCCTCCAAAGAGCTGGTAACAGACCGGCTGTCAGGGCCCCTCCCAGAACTACTGAGTCAGTCTCTGGGGGCGAGGCCAGAGCACGCAAGGGCCGTCCACGTGCGGGAGGGAAGACATACTGCTCTAGATCTGCTCACACTTCAATGTATTCTTCTCTTGCCACACATGCAAATGAGATATTTTTAAACTTGGGGGTTTATGAAAACTAAAGACATGAAATTCTGGCTCCTGTAGCCAATCCCAGTGGCCCAAGGGTTGGGATTATGAGGCTTTGATGCAGGAATGGGAAGAGGCACTGATGGACTGATTCCTTTGACCTGGTGCTACACAGAGATGAGTCAGGATCTATGGGTGCTGTGGCTCCTCCTTCCTGCCCCCAACATCTCTCCAGCCAGAGACACGTGGCCTGGAACCTCCTATTGGAGATTCTCTCCGAGGACCAATCCATTCCCATCTGCTAGAGTTGATCGTCCACGCGAGGATGTGACTGAAGCTTTGCCAGACCTTGTCCCCTCAGCTCTATTCACGACTCACCCTCTGGCTGAGAACTGGCTGAGGGCCAGGCATCTAGAGACCCGGGGGTCTGACAAAGGAGAGAGGGCACTGGCATAGAAAACTCCATCAGCAAGGGAAGCTCTGTGGGGCCAGGGCTGCACCAGGAACAAGGCAGAGGCCATGAGAGGTAGGGATGAAACTGGCTCACCTAGACTCTGCTCAGGTCTGACTCCCAAGCCACCTGCACCTGGGCAGGAAGTGTCCTTATCTGCCTCTCATCCCTCAACCCCCACTTACCTGTACCTCACTGCCATCCCCTCGCAACCCTTAGGGCTGACAAACCAAAAGTGCTATGCAGAAGTCTGAGAAATTGAGAATCTGCTTCGAGAGTGTGAAATGCACACTGCGTAGGAGGAGAAGCAGGAAGCGAGGCTGGAGCAAGCGATTTTGAAGGGGCTCTCCCTCCATCTCTCCCACCGGACGGTCAGGTGATTCCACATCTCTCGGTCACTCCATCAGCTCGGAGAACAAGACACTACCAATTCCCAGCAGAACCTCTTCCTCAGGTTTTGATAAACCACACCTGTAAACATCACCTTCCCTACCTGTTGGTGAAGCCGCTGGGTCTTCAGCATCTGCAAGAGTGAGAGATGGAAGGCTCTGCTGTGAGTGAGTAACATACTGCTTCATTTTCAAGTGTGACTTTTATGCTGTTTTTTGAGAAGGACTTTCTCAGAAAGAGCCAGAGCTAAGCTCTGCCTGGGAACGGAGCGGGGGTTACCTGAACAGATCACGCCAGCATCCTCCTGGTGCCCACAGTTGTGGGCAAACCAGCTGGCGTGGGAGCACTCCTCCAGGTGCTGTTCATCCCCTCTGCAGTGCACGTTGTCAAGGAGGATTTTTCCAGAACCATCCCCAAAGTGGGCCTCTCCCGGGGCTGAAACAGCCCAGCCGCACCCCAGCTTTCTGCAAACGACGTTGGCTTCCGGCAGGTCCCAGAGGTCGTCACACACCGTCCCCCAGCCTCCTTGGTAGAACAGTTCCACGCGGCCTGCACAGCTCCTGTGGCCGCCCACCAGCCGCACGGGCGCCCAGCCTCCTGGGGAGGAGAAGGGGTCATGGGTGACAGCTGTCCCCCCCGGCCTGTTGATGACTGGCTGCCTTCTACCAAGCTTTCCTTATGTCCCATGACTTCGCTGCTCAAACCCTACATGCTGCCAGGAGGACCCCGCGCCATTCCCCAGACCCGTGGCTCTCAGACACCTAGAATGTCATCCTTCCCCACACCGTGTCAGACAACTTGCCCACGGTGGTCTCTTCTCTGCAGTCTTCCCTCACTCTTTACCACGTGCCCCTGCAGCTGTGAAGGGCTGGGCCTATCCTCCTACACCCTGGTTCTGCGCTGGCGGCCTGAGATTTGCTCTGGCCAACAGAGCCAATAGGACGCGGCAGGAGCGATGGTGCTGGACAGGCCCCACGGGAACTCTGAGACAGTCACGTGGACAAGCCTGGGTAGCCCGCTGGGCGGTGAAGGACATGTGACCTCGTCACCGCTGTCACCTCGGAGGACATAAGACAAGAAGACCCAGCCTTACCTGGAGGAGCAGAAGGTGGGTGTTGAGCCGCTGGTATCACTGGTGATGTGGGAAGTGGGTTCTCGTAGGCTGCTGATGGGTAAAAAGGAAGGACTGTCATCAGGAAATAGTCAGAACACTGGGAGAAGATACACAGCTGCTTCAAGGGGGCCCCTGCCTCCTCCCAGGATCCAGCAGGAATAACGCTGATGCAGGCCAGAGACCTCATATCCCCGAGATCCCCGTTTAGGACAGAACATGGTGTGACTGCATCACAAGGCCGTCAGCAAAAGCAAAGATCATGGACAAGTAGCCCCAAGTGCCCTGCCGTTTGAGTTGGCCATCACTTCTCTCTGTGCTACCCTCTCCTCCGGTGTGTAGTGACTTCACCTGAACATAGCAAGGAAAGTCACACGGCAGTTCCTTGGGACGGAGGCAGGGAGGAGGGCATCCAATCTGAAGTGCTTGAGGAAACCTTTGAGGGTGAGGGAACTGTTCTATAATCTTGACTGCAGTGTGATTACACAAGTGTGTATAATTACCTAAATTCATCAGACTGGATCTTAACATCGGTGAATTTTATGGTACATAAACCAAACCTTAATAAAAGATAAGATGAAACCGAATGGCTCTGTTGTACCCCTAAAACTAACATTGTAAATCAACTACACTTCAATAAAAAATAAAATTAAAAAAAATAAGATGAGTCAATGGATGAATAGAAGTATGGTAGATCGACTGATAAATTTATTGAGAAGTCTAGATAGGAGTTCACTGTCAAATTCTTCCAACTTTTCTGCACACTTAAACATTTTCACAATAAAATGCTGGGGGGTAAAGTGTCCCTCAATTTCTATTATAAGACCTACAGCTCTGTTTCTGGATGACAACCTCTTGCTTTCCATGGCATACGCTTAGTTCAGCTGCCATTTCTCTCCTTGTCCATCACAGAATGTCAAAGGCATAGAATTCTAGGCAGCGTGGACTCCAGTGTCCATGGTCCTGATGACATGGAGACTGAGGGCCAAGGTCATTCAGCTGGAGAGACCAGCCAGGATCAGATCCTTACAGCTCAGGGCCCTTCCCTTCCGCACACAGCCTCCCCTAGGTTAGCGGTCGACCCAAAGAAGGAAACCTTGCTGTATGGCTGCCTGCCAGGCGCCAGGAACCTTCAGGCATTGTCCGTTCACGACCTTCCTCGATCCTGTAATTATTCCTAGTTCAACGGAGAGGAACCCAGAGGAAGGGAGGTGGAGAGATGACATCATGAGGCTGAGGTCACATAACTGAGGGGATTATGTGGCACGTCTGTCTGTCTCTTCTGTTCAGGTGCAAACCCCATGAAAGAAGGGACGGAAGGGGGTTTGATCACTGCTGTGACCCCAGTGCTTATCGGCACAGAGCTGGGACACTGTGGACACTCAGTCAATATCTGCTGAAAGAATGGATGAGCGAAAGAGCGAAGCTGGGAATCAAACCAGGATCTGACTCTACACCTCATGACCTTTGCAGATCAGGCGGAGTCTAGTGCCGGATGCAGGATGTAACAGGGTCCTACCTGTAGGCGCAACAGCTGTGGAACCGGCACCTGTAACGTGAAGACTGACTGTCTTCACGGGTGAATGTTTACCGGGAAGTCCCACATTTAGGGAGCTGTTGGGGGCAGAAAAATTTGGCACTTGCTGGGGATTTGAGGCACAAGACCAGACAGCAGATGTTGAGTGTCTCAGGAGAGCTTCGGAAGTCAGTACTCCCCCGGGGGCCTCAGGTGCTGAGGAGCTGCGGGTCAGGATGGGCCTGGAGGAGCCTGAGAGCTTGTCATTCGTGGAGATGTCATTCCAGCCACCAGTGGGACAGAATCAGGAAAGACTGGGGAGCACTGGGGGCACAGAGTCAATCAGAGGGACACACAGGTTTGGGGAGGTTATCAGGCCCAGATGTGGAGGGCCTGGAATTCCATTGCCCAGAGGTCATAAACTCTAAAGTTTCTGAGGGCCACAGGGGTAAGATAAACGAGCGACCTGAGTGGTGGGAGCCGTGTGAGCTGAAAAGCTGTTCCACGTCCGGGGGGCGGCTCTCTCCCAGACGCAGCCGGTTATCATAAGAAAAGAATCTGCTGCTTTGAGGCTGAACTTCTGCTTGTATTTTTTTCCACAAAATGTAAACATTTGAATTTTTAGGCCAAATACTGACTTGGCTGAATTCAAGTTCAGCTTACATTTTCAAACCAAACAGGACACTTCTGAGCTAGGACCCAACCCGTGAGGCATACTCGGCCATCT